CAAATTTGATTCTTTTTGCTTAATATATATATATATATATTTTTTTTTAGTTTCATGTTATATATATGTTATATATATATATATATATATATATATATATAAATATATATATAACATAAAAATTGATTTCTTATTTCCTTAGTAAGATAATGAAAATGTATAAACTATATAAATAAAGAAACTTTAAAAAAAGCAAAGGGAGATTGAATTCAGCATTGGCCGAATTTTTAATATCCACCACTAGTTGTTGATGATATTAAATGCGATATCATATGAATTGCTAACCATCCGCATTTATGCGACTTTGGCAGTATTATAGAGAATAGTGTATCAGTTAAAATAATATTTACATATTTCGCAGTGTTTATAATATTCTTTTAAATGTGAAAGATTCCCTTAATCTGACTTAAATGATGGTCAGACTAACTAAATGCGGAAGTTTTGCCACTTCGCCGACTTTAAACCGAACTGAATTGATTAAAAATTACAAACTATAGCCATATGAAAAATTACTTCTCAGACATCATATATATGGGATAGTTTCCAAAAAGCCGAGTGTCGTGGTCAAAGTCCGGTATAGTGAAATTGTAGTGCTCAGGAAATGCGAAAAAGTCGACTTTGTGACCACATGAAGAATTACGTTTCGCGAGATCTCGTACGTGAGAGGTTTGAAAAATAGACTAATTTGATCCAAATATTTAACAAATAAACTAAACATCAAATCATTTATCTGAACCAATTGTCATTATAGAATATTAAAATCTGCCCTTAATTGCCGCAAACAAAAATTTCTAAAGCTATATGGAAGTGGCCCAAAAAATGGCCCCAAGGCATTCATACCGAACTATTATTTTTATCATCATTGATTTTCACTAATATTAATGTAACGATTGTTTTAAAATGGGGCGTTGTGCGAGGAGTAATCGTTCGATCCTTAAATCAAAACACATCAGTGTCAAAATATTTCGAAAATTGTAATCTGCGTGTACTTTGAAGACAAAAACACATGTACACACATCAGGCAGACAGATGATCGTATAGAACTAAAATAAATTAGGCCAGGGAAGTGATAGGGTTTGTAATGGACACCGGCACTGTAGCATTAAAAAATCAAATAAAAAAAAAAAAAGGAAAAGCAGTTCTTGTCAGGGAAAAAAACAAATTAAAATTTAAGTTTTCCTGGGTAGAGGAAAAGAAAACTTTGGACAGTTGCAGTTTGAAGAGTGAGTTATACACATATTTCTGCTAAAATATTGAATACGAAAAATCGTGAATAAATACGAACAAAGGAAGCTTCTAAAAGCGTATTATTTGAATTGAATTGTTTGAAAATTTCCAAGGAAAAAAAAATCCTTTACATAAAAGAATTATTGACTGCAGCAGTTGAAGTGATGAAGTTTTATTAACGAACATCGATGTCAAATTTTCACTATGGAAAACTAAATGATTCAAATGGTTCTGCCTAAAAAAAACTAAAAAAATAACGTAACGAGATAAAAAAATAAGTATGAAAAAACAAAAAAAACGCACACAATCACGGGTACTGCTGTTCAAATATCCTTCGCATTGTTATGAATCGGCCTTACAACGTGTCTTAATGGATCAATAAACGAAACTTATTTTTTTTTTTGTATTTCTTTTTATTATTAATCAAAAATTTAAAATTCATAATTTGTAAAAAACTTACAGCTGCGGTGATGCGCATCAACGTGGATTGGTTTTGGTAAGTTTCTTTTTTGGTTTGTTGAATTAAATTAATCTAAATTTTCCCTTACTTGTGTTTAACCTTTTTTTTTTTTAAATTTTTAAATTTGAGCATTCTTTTTTTCCAAGTCTTGTTAATTAAAAATAATATTTAAAATTTATAATTTGAAAATGATTTCACTTCTTCTAAAAATAAAAAAAATAAAATAATAATAGATCTTGAATTGAGATAATTTTGTAAATTAATATAATTATTTTTTTGTTTTTTTTTTTTTACTTAAGTGGTTCGTTTTGTTATCTTTTATTTTTGGAAAAAATAAATAAAAATGTATTATTATTAAAATTATTAAATTGTTGGTGAGATTTCCTTGAGGTGACTGAGGCGCATGACGACGTAATTTTTCCCGTTAAAAAAAAAAATAAATCAAAAATTAAATGTAAGCATGTTATTTCAAAATAATGAATCATTGGTAGCGTAAAGATAAAATATCATGAACCTATTTTCGATTGCTTATTTTTAGCCATCCCATCCGTTGAGCCAGGCCGGAAAACATGCGTAGGTTTCATGGTATAAATAAAAAAAAAAATTTACAGTTTGCAAAGTACCCATATTAAATACGTTACAGTGTGCTATTCCAAGCTTCTTTTTTTACGCAGAAGGATTATAAAGCGGTCATAAGGCTAAGAGGCTTTCCATAGCCCCGTAGTTATATACTCTACGGTTTCTCCGACACATATTTCAATATATTGTAAGGACCTATCAAAACTACCTATACTCACAGAAGATGAGTGTAAAAACCCAAACAAATAAGAACATTATAGTCAGGCAAGGCCGACAATTAAATACCCCACACCACATTGCCTAACACAATTTTTATTTATATTCTAGAACACAAAAATTATATCTTGTTTCTATGTAAAGGCATATTTTTCATGTGCTTATTTATGGGCAAGCGGGCCGAAAACGCAACCTAATGTAGTACAAGTTTAATCCATACATAAGTTAGAACCCAAAAATATGTCTAGAATGTCCAAATTTTGTAGAGTTAATTTTTTTATAAGATTACTATAATATTATGGGTCAATTTTCATCACCACATATTAAAACTTGCACTTTTCTGCTTTACCAAGTATCAATTTTCGTGAAAATCATTATTATTATTGATCGAAGAAATAGGCCGAGATGGTCCAAGTTTGGTACAGATAATTTTTTTATTTTAAATTACTATTATGATGCAATTTTCTTCCTGAAGCATTGAAAATTACCTCTTTTTGTCGTGTAAACTGCAGTTTAATCAAAAATTGGCCCAAACGGTCCGCGGTTTCCGTAGCAATTTAAAGTGCTCAAATACTGCCACTTAGCCAGTTTTGCTGAGAAATTTTGTAAATTACAAACTTTTCCCATATAACGACTTTTCAGAATAGGGCGCTATATGGGGTGTGGTCCACAAAGTGAACCCATCCGAACCATTTTCAATAGCTTTCTTCCTCGAGTCAAAACACGTCATTTAGCTTAAAAACAAATTTACATAGATAGGCATCAGACGCCCCGACGGACGGACAGGCTTAGAAAAATTCACATTATGATTCCGAATCAATCGGTATAATAAAAGGCGGATCTATCTTAACCCCTTCTTCGTGTGACATACGACCGCACTAACCTAACATGCTCTTGCACCACAAGTGCTGCACAGCATAAAAATGATTAATATCAATGCTCCTAAATAATTTGTTCATAGATTTGGAGTATTTCCTATTCGGATAGAGATGTTTCCGAATTTATATGATCAACTTTTTTTGTCCTTTTCCGTTATCGAAAAATAACGCTCACAATCGCCTTCTCGCGACGTCAGGATTCGGTTCAAAGGTTTCAAACAAAAACTTCTCAAATAGCCAAGTGTTATACTAGTCCGAAGATACGGCATATTACACTCATAAATACACATACAGTTATTAAGTAATGATAGCTTATAGCCAAACTTAAGACGTGATCGAAAATTTGATAAAAAACAAAACAATCCTTTAATAAACAAACGTAACTTTCTTATTTGCTTTTGTTTTTTTTTTTTTTTGCCCCAATAAAGGGGCAAATTATCAACCTTAAGCCAAACACTTTATTGACCACTATTGTTCCCGTTTTTTTTTTTTTTTTTTTTTTTTTAACACTTGACTGTAAGTAATACGCAAGTGTACACAAGAGAATACAGATAAGTCGATCCCACATGCAAATCTTACTTTTAAAGAAAACCACTGCACAATTTCATGTAAAAAATACACTACCCTTCAAAAGCGTATTCAGTTTTAAAAGCTGCACGCTGCACACGTCATTGTATTTAAGACTTTCTAAAAACTTTGACAATGGGATTTTTTGGACTTTAAAAAAGAATGGTTTAACGTTGACAATCAAAGCTCAATTAAAGCAAAGAAAATAATATTATTTCTTGTAAATTTTGAATGCGCCACTGTATCTACTTAACTGCTTTTCAAGTTTAGAGGAATACAAATTAAAAGCGAAAAAAGATTTGTAAAATCAACTAAATTTATCTTTACAGACAAAATTGTCACTTAAAAAACAAGAAGAAGAAGAAAAAAAAAGAAGGAAGAACATTTATACATTTTATACATCCACTCACGCCGATCAAAAATATATTAACTATACGAAATTCCCCGGGCATACTTTAACAGTTATTTTACAGTAGATCTAACTTAACCTCTGTGGTGGATATAACATATCAATGTAAAGCAAAACAAATCAAAAATAACAAAAATTGAAAACAAAAAATGAAAATAAAAAAAATATATATGTATTAAATTATTTTTAATATAATTTCTTTCTATAGAAAATTTCATTTCATTATTAAACAATTTAAAATGAACGGCTTCGAATGACGTGAAATGCAATGATTTTTAGACCCTAATACGAAAGAAGTAGAAAATGTTTACAAAATTAATTAATCAGGCTTTAATAATATCCCGCAGGTTACCTTTCTGCTCATTATTTCGTTCATATTTGCAACTGATTTTTAATGGAATGATTAAATTTAGTATACTTTTAGTTTTGATTGGAATGAGTAATTCAATACTACAGTCTTCCACGACTAAACGTATGCTGTTCACTTGTAATTAGCCGCTCAGTGAATTAATGAAATTTTCTCTTTCAAAGCGAAATAAGGTAAAAAAATGAATAAACAACCTAACGGACCTAACGGAGGCTAAAAAAAGGCTTAAGGACTTCGGTTTTTTTTTTTTTTTTTTTTTTTTTTAAAAGATTTAAAAAAATTTTTTAAATTTTTTGTTTTTTTTTTTTTTTTTTTTTTGTTATCAAAGATTCTCTCTCTTTAGGAAATTGTATAGTTTTGTTTTTCATTTGTTTATTTCATATTTTTATAAGAAACTTTAATTTTTTGTTTTCTTAGTTTGCTCTTATGATATATGATATTCATACACCTATGTAATCTTTAATTATGCTTAATTTTTAAACAATGGCTTAAGGAAAATAGTTATGATTCACACAGTGTTCAAAAAAGAGGGATAGGAAAGGAATGACATTGTTGGTTAAAAGTTATTTAATGCGTTTAGATTATTTTCGTATTTTATTTTAATTTTCTTCTTTTTTTGTTTTCTTGTTTTTTTTTTTAATTTTATCTTTTTTAGGTTTTCAATAACCACCAAACTACCAGCAAATGTCATAAAGGGAGTGCAAATGGATGTATATATGTATTTATGCATGATTGTGTTTGCAAGTGTATGGTTTTTTTTTCCTTTTCGTATTGTCTTAAAGCAAAACACACAGTGATTTCTTCGGTTTTTTTTGTTTCTTTTCCGGTGATTTTTTATTGATCTGTCTAACGAGATCATAGAATATATCGACAACATTCACTTTAGCTTTGGCAGAGGTCTCCATGAAGGCGCAGTTAAATTGATTGGCCAAGCTTTTACCCAATTCTTTACCTACTACTCGTTCATCTTCGAGATCGCATTTATTACCCACCAGCACCATGGGCACATCATCCGTATCCTTAACACGGAGTATTTGTTCACGCAAATCTTGCAGGTCATTAAAAGTTGATTGCGCCGTTATAGAATAGACTAACACGAAACCTTGGCCATTTTTCATATAAAGATCACGCATGGCGGTGAATTGTTCTGTACCGGCAGTGTCCAATATCTCAAGCATGCATTGCTGGCCATCGACCTCCACCTGTTTGCGATAACTGTCTTCTATGGTGGGATCGTATTTCTCGACAAATATACCCTGTACAAACTGCACCGTCAGGGCCGACTTACCAACACCACCACTGCCCAAAACAACAATTTTATATTCACGCATTTTGCTAAACTTGCTTGTTAATGTTTTTTTTTTTCTTTTTTGTAAAAAGGCGGGGTAGAGTGTATTCGTTAAATTTCTTCTTGATCAAGAGTTAGAAGTTTTTATTTTTTTTAGTTTTTTTGTTTGTAGTTGTTGTTGTTGTTGTTGGAAGAGAGGCGTTGTTTGTTTTTCACAAAAAAAAAAAAAAATAAAAATTGGTTCCGACTTAAATTCTGTTTTATTTAATGTACTTGTGTTTTAAAAAACGTTGCTTTAACATCAGACTTTTTTAGAAATGTTTAATTGTTGATTTTTTACTTTCTCTTCCTTTTTTATTTTTATTTTACATTAATTTGAACTTTTGAAATATATTCTCGGTTTATTTTTGTAGTATTTTTATGACTATTCTTAAGTTTTTTTGTATTACTCAACAAAGGAATTTTATCCGCATATAATTAGTGTGCTTTAAATAGGGCCTGGTCTTCTCTGTTCTGCTCTTTTGTGCATATTCCGTTTTATCTTTGCCTTTTCGTGGCACTTTGCACTTTTCTTTACCTTGGTTGCCGCGGCTCCTTCCTTTTCTTTTTTTTTTTTTTTTTTGAGTTTTAATTTCTTGCCGCAAAAATATAACGAAATGTCACCTAAAAACGTACAAATAAAAACTATATATTAATTTATTCTTGTTGTTAGCGACACAGCAAAGAAGAAATTAAGATTTTTCCTTCAGTAATTTTCCTTTGTGCTGCTGCTGCTCTCTTTTTCTCTTTTTCTATCAATTAACTCATTACTATTTTGTGACTAAAAAAAAAAAAAAATAACACATGCAATCGTTTGACTCAATTTCTTTTCACCACCAATCGCCCAAAATTAACTTCAAAGTAAATGACTACTAGAGAGCACTCTTCTTATGTACAACTGCTGTTAGGTGCTCTTGTTTTTCTAGTTCTCTATTTTATTTAATATGACGCGATCGTACAATCGTATAATTCTTTTTTTAATTTACCTAATACTCCTTTTATCCTTTCAACCAAGCAATATGCATTTTGATATGTTTTATTGCAAAACTTCTTTACGTTTTCACACAATTATTCTTTGTTAATCACTCGTGCACTCACATTCCTTTCTCTCTCTGCTGCTCACACATATAACAAAGAATTTCTAGCCAAATAAATTATTTCCGCTAAACTTGCTTTGTTTTTTATTTTAATTTTGTGCGCTTTATATCGCAATTTTTCTGTTTTTTTATACATATGTATATATATATGTATATATATACATGTATGTATATTTTTTGTGCTCTCTTTTTAATTATCAGTTTTCTAACTTGAAATATTTCACAATGTTTTATTGAATTCTATTTATTAATTGTCACAAAATGTGTTAGCTGTTGCGAATCTGCCTGTATTCTTTTTCGCGTCCCCTTCACTTTCTAGATGGCAGTGCTGCCAGTATTTTGGATTAGTTACCATTTTTTCTTTTTAGAGACTTTCTCTATTTCATAAAAGATATTTTTTCCTAGACGTTTTTGAAATATAGAATTGCCAGCGTTGCGTATAAAAATAAACAACTCAGCTGCTTTCATTCTTGTCTATAACGTTTTTACCGCGTTGTCGCTGGAATTTCATATATCACTTAATTTAAGCCTCATCTTTGCTTTAAGCTTCATTCTTTGGGTTATATAGCTTTTTCTTCTCTTATTTTAATATTTTTCAATGAGATTTCATGAAACAAAATCAAAAGTAAATCATAACAAGAAAATTCACTCTAAGCTGGACTTAGAAGATACCTTTTCCCTTCCTTTCACTTAGAATGCAAGTTACAGTCTTTTGCAGGTTCAACTTCCTCTGAATTCCTCTTCCAAAATGACGTTTACATTTAAGGTGATTTCAATGTTTTCATCAAATGATTTCATTTGAAAGCAAAGTTCTTGTCGAATTGAAAAGTTTATGATTAAGTGTGTAAACTCACAGAGTGTAGCATAAAAAATATAACATTTTTTTACATGTGGACTTATGACTAATTGTAAAAAGTAAAATAAAATTACAAAATATATCGTCACCATTTTAGGAATGAACATATTAATGCATCTATCTGCCTCACATATATGTTTTACTTTCTTTTCTAATATTTATTTCACTTTGTTTTTGATATTAAACCAACGAAATTATAGCAATTCTGTTAAAGTGATTACTAATATCACTAATATGGCACAAACACGGAAAAGTAAATTTATGGATTTCAATATAAATTTATTGAATTTTTTAGATGTAAATTTTGTTTTATACACATATGATGATTTTTTGCAGGATTTTATTGAAAACCATGTCATTACTTGATATCACTTAAATCGATTTTAGTGTTGATGTTATATTATATTAATTTTTACAATCAATAATAGACGTAAACGTGAGAAAACAATACATTTACTTCGCAATATACGCAATATATCCAACAAAGCTGAACAAAAAAATACTCAAATAACGCAACATCGATTCAACGATTCATAAATGTAAACAAACTCAACCAATTAGAACGAACCTCGGCAAAATAAACAAATGTTGGCGCTCATTTAAATGGGGTAGAAAAATTACCAGGACCAATTTGAATATATATACTTATAGTAAGAGAAAATAAGCAAACTCTTGAAAGTAATTTAAAGTAATAAAGAAAGTGGTCAATGAATCTTTCCGTTTGCTTTCAGTGGGCTTTTTTACATTCTACGGTACGCAAAAAACTATTAGCCTTTCTTTCTATATTGTCAGATATTATTAATTCATTTAAAGTCATTCCAATAAGACAAGTGTGTGAGCAAAAGAATCTACCCAAAGACATTCTTACTTTTTTTTTTTGAGAAACTGGATTAGAAGGAAAATATATTTTAATTTATTCTCTTATTCTCTTCTATTAATGAAAAAGGTGCACAAAACTAAGAATATGAACAGCTCTGAAAGGGTCCAGAGGTCGATTTGCGGTTCACATAACGACGTTCACATAACACGTTAGACAAAAACGATACGATCTCATTTTTGGTTGATAGCTTTCGTATTGAGTTGGGCTTGCCGTTCGTTGCATTTGCAACGGAATTTTTATGATATCATCGTTGTATGTATAACAAAATAATGCAAAGAAGAGGAAGAGGAAGGCAAGAAGTCAATGAATAAGTAAACCAAATATAAAATTTAAAAAAGAAATTGATGAAAAAATTGAAGTGTTTGAAAAACGAGTTTGATATATGGAACTAAGTATATCACTGTTTATTTAAATTATTTAGTTCTTCTTTATAGTGACTTTGATAATTATAATTTCCATATTAAGTTTGTGTGCGTTTGCGTTGCCCAAACTGGCTCTAAATATCACGTTTCCAGAATAGTTTTTACATAGTTTCTAGTAATTCTATATTTCTACTTTTCTCGTTCTCGTTAACACTTTGACCTATAACCACGAGTCTGACTAGTGCTAAAGAATTTTAGCATAAAATGACAGCGTTTGTTTTTGACATTTATTTCTGACGAAATTGGATGATATATCGTTTTATTATTTCACAATTCCTTTTGGTTCACCGAAATATACATGTCATGAAAAACATACATTGCCAATTCGGGGGCACAGCCTAACAGCTGAGCACGGCGCCCGACTGGTCTTCTTTACTATGGCTTGGTTGAACGGTGTAGGCTAAAGGGTTAATTCCATATTCATTTATTTCTTTTAATTTTTTTTTCGTGCAAAAAAGTAAACATTGAAAGTAATTATTTGATATTACTATTTTCGCCAACATTTTGAAATTTTTGAAATTAATTAAACTTCCTATGTCCATTAATTTTACCAATTGTGCTTTTGCACCGATGTTTTTCTTTACCTTCTCTTTGAACATTAGGCTCGCTGATTATTTTACTTTCATGCAGAAATGTGACACTTTACATTCGATGCCGGGCAAACACTCGTACGCCATCGAGTACTATAGCGAACCAAACGAGGAGAATGAACTCAAAATCCAAATTCGCTGTCAAGCTCGCTCGATAACGGGCAACGTAAAGTGACCCCAGTTCTTCAAAAAGTAAAAACCAAAACCAAGCTGCCGAGTAACAGATTCCTAATTATCCGAATTAAATACCTTTTAATGTTTATAAAAAGTTAAACGATAATGAACTCCATCAATTTCATTCTATTTATAACTTTCCCACATGCATTACATAATTATGACTAGCACATCAAATACGTGATAACTAAAAACTAACTGTGCGTACAAACGTGGAAAAGGATTTTCGCTTCGATCATTTGAAAGCTTATAATTTGAATCCTCTCAGCATAATTTGAAAAATGTCATTGGCAAGTCCGATATATGTTTATTAGAAGTATTTTTGTTTTTTGCAATATTTTGTTATTTATATATATTTAATAATTTATATTTTACATATGTAATAGATACGCATACATATACATATATATAAACATGTATATACATGTACATACATGCACATACATGTACGTATATATGTATATATATATATTAGGTATATAGGTATATATATATATATATATGAATATATATCTATATCGTGTACATATATATCCCCATTGCGCACATATTTTATTAACATACGAACAGCTGAAAAATGTATTAAGTTAAAAAAATAAAAAGTTTTAAACAGAGTACAACTTCGTTACAAAAAATACTAAGGATAACTTACACAAAATAGAAAATGAACTAATCTTACCCAAAATTTTGTAAGAAGCCAACACAAAAGAAATTTTACACATTTCGAATCCGTTCTCCTCAACAGGGAATAAGGTCGTAACTTTTCTGTCTTTGCTTTTCGGTTGATGCAGAGGTACTTAATTATTTTGAGTTTGTGAAAATTTCACTTTACGTACAACTTACTTATCATATATTAAAGTGACCATGCCCGCTGCCACTGTAACGCCAGCGACGCGCAGCATGAATCGGCCCAATTCTTTAAAGTCCACATAATTTTCGATGCAAATCGGACGTGAAATTTTCAATTCCACTACGGCGCACGAATGATTGCCCAAGCAACGTGGTTTAGTTTTCGTCATCTCGCCCGTAGATTTGTTAATTTGAGCAATTAATTTACTAATCACAGCCGGTTCAATCAGAGATTGATGATGTAACAGCACCGGATGTCCTTTGGTAATTGGTACCTTGATATTAAAAACTAAAATGCGTGCCTGGAAACGTGTGGTAACAGGCATAGGATGTTGTGGATCGTAGATAAAGCTGCCTACAGTGATATTATTCATATCAATCCCCGAAAGAGTAACTGAAACTTGATCTCCAGCAAATACTGTATTTTGGGGTGATTCATCTATTAAGAGACCTTTCACGTGAGCCTGTTCGCGGCTAGCACCCATTAGCACTTTATCGTTAACGCCCAAAACACCTGTCTCTACTCGACCTGAGATACAAAAACCAGCACCAGTACCTTTAAAAATATCCGATACCGACATACGAAATGGACGATCTATAGAGCGTTCGGGTATTTTAAAATTATCAATAACCGCCAATACATGAGGACCTTTATACCAGGACGTCAAAGAGGGATCACTAGCCGGTCCAGCTAAATTTTCTCCTGTTAAGCCTGAACAAGGAATATAACTGACATCCGTTTCACGATAGCCTGCCTGTTTCAGGAACGTGCGCAATTTCTGAACAATTTCATCAAAACGTTCCTTAGACCAGGACACGGTATCAAGTTTATTGATGATTACGCCTAATTGTTGTATACCTAAAGAACGCACTAGTAAGGCATGTTCCCTGGTTTGTCCACCCAATTCGAAGCCCGATTCAAATTCGCCACGTGTTGCATCTATAACAAGTAAGGCTGTGTCTGCTTGGGTGGCACCCGATATCATATTGGGTATGAAATCTTTATGACCCGGTGCATCAATTAAAGCAATACTCTTCGTCTCGGTTTCAAAACGGAAGTTACCTACATCCATGGTAATACCTAGAAAGAATTTTGTAATTTATGTTCATTTTTTATATGAGTAATAATACCTCTTGCTCTTTCTTCTCCAGTCTCATCTAACACCCAGGCATACATAAAACTTTGTTTTCCCATTTTTTTCGATTCTTGTTCATATTTATGCATTACCCGTTGCGACACGTTGCCGGTGTCGTATAACAAATGGCCCATTAGAGTACTTTTCCCAGCATCCACATGACCAATAACAATCAAATTCAAATGATGTTTTTGGTCGGCACGTTCTTTGTTGTACAGTTGCTTAGCATCACGTTGAGATTGCTCTTTGGAGACTTTAAATAAGTTTACGACAGCATTTGCGGTATCTGAAGTTTTTCGGAAAGAATCATCTGAAGATATATCTATCGGAGTATTACGACCTGAGACGACTGGGGAGCTTTGCAAATTGGGAGAATTAATTTCAAAGCCTCTTTTAACTTCCCCCGGGGCTGCGGTGACTTTTACTATGGGTGTGGTGGTGGTGGTTGCTGCGGTTGTTATTGATTTGACTATCTTCGTTGGTCCTATTACTTTGTTATTTACTGCTACAGTTGTATTTGTAAGATCTTCAGTCTGCAGTCTCTTAGCTTTGCGATCGCACTCGTCATTTAATATTTCATCCAAAACTTTATTAATATCATAACCAAATTTTAGACACGTTTCCACTAAACGTCGTTCTGATATAGTATCGCCCACTACACTTCGCACTTCATCCATGCACGATGTTAAACGGGCCTGCTCGATTTCATTTAGTACAGGCATCTGAAAATTTTCAGAGTCACGGCGTAATTTTTCGTACGCCTTTTCCTCTTCTTCTATCTCACCCACTTCCTCTTCTGCTATATCATTATTATTTCGTATGAAAGATGACATGGATTGTTGGCCTCTGGCACGATCATACAGCCACTGTTGTGCATCTGTCGGTGATATGCAACTGTCGTCATCGACGGAGTGTCCATACACATCATCATAGCCATCGTATTCATCGTTATAGTCCATGGTTCGAACAATTCTGTGACGTGACATTTTTTTGTGTGTTACTTTTATATTATATACCCGGTCAAAACTTGCTCTTTAGTGATTTCTATAATTGGTTTCTAATGCAGGTGTTGTATTTCATAAATTTTGCTAATTCAATGATTTCACAATTCGTAAAGTTTTCAGTGAATTATTTATGAATTTGTGAAATACTTTTACCGAACACATTGAAAATTAAGAAAGTTACAACAACCACAAAATTTAGATAATAAATGAAAAAAAAAAAAAAATTTAGCAACGAACGCTGCCAGAACCAAACAGCTGTGACTAATAATGAAGTGTGAAGTGAAATAAGTTGTGGGGAGAAACATACACAAATATCTTATAATGGCAATCCCATTCTTAACAAACGACAAATTTGGAATAAGGTAACCATTTTTCCCAATTTCTTTTACGAATGATTAAAACGATATTAATTTAGAGAACTTCAATAAATATCTTCACTTTAAGAAAAAAGAATAACTCGCCAGCTAATCTTAATTCCTACAGATAGATGTATGGCCTGCGTTTCCACTCTAGGAAATGTTTTCGAGAAAGTGTTATACTCACGCTTAAAATGGCAACCCGAGTCTAAATGAATCCTCAGCTATTTTCAATTTGGTTTCAGACATCACAGATCTCCCCCAGGAAGCATTGTTACTTTGTCGTCGGAAATAAACTCACCGTTTGCTAACAATCACGTTATCTTTCTCTCTGCTTTCTGGACATATCCTCAACGTCTGATTCTGCCAACATTAACATCTTAAACTCTATTCTTCTCTCTTTGAATCTCCCTACCAAATTCTGCAATTTATTATATAACCTCTTTTTCTATAAGAACATATCAATTAACAATGATGATGTTGTTGTAAAAAGGACATCTTTTGTAGGTGTTTTTCAGGGATCTGTATTGAGTCGTCTTTGTTTTAATACATATATTCACAAAATCTTCAGTTTCCTTCCTGAGAAGGAAGAAACTTTGGGCAATGCTGACGATCTTGTCATTTGTAAATGTAGTTTGCAGTCTGCCCTCCACACTATTTCCTCTCGTCTTGAATCACTCCAACTTACACTACAGTCAATATCTGGTCTTTCCTCCCCTCCCTATTTTAAAATTTTTGCTAACAAAATTAATAACTTCAACATTCTAAGATCAGGTATACATAGCTTATTGAAAATTGCTCTTGGTTCACAATATTTTCGACGAATAATTAAGTTCTAACCAGTCAGAAAATCCACAATTACCCCGGTAGAGGTACACCACCACTGCTCTAAATTGATCAATACCAAATGGAAACGTTTTTCACTCATCTTTATTAATGGATCTAGCACCGATGTTGTAGGCAGGGGCTTTTGATTTCCAGATAATAACATAGAACCCTAATTCTGAAATCACCTATGTAGTACTGTATTTTCGGCTGAATGTTTTGACATCCTGGAAGCCATCCGCAAAAACTCACGCTTACGTATTAGAAATCAGTTCCTTACTTTTTAGGTTCAAATCTGATACATTTTGTTCTCACTTTCTCAGTCACAACGGCAAACACTACAGATCAAATTGCATTTAATTTTAATAATCGTCCTGTGATTCCTGTAGATGTGAAGGCAATCGACAAAAAACATTCAGTTCTTCTTTGGCAACGCCGATGAAATAATTTACCTTATGATCATCATTTATACTCTTTATTTCCACAATTCAATACAGCCCCTTCGTTTATCAATAGCGGAGTCAGACGTGACATTGTTTGTCTTATTAACAGGGTGGTGTCTAATCACACAAGATGTAGTGATCACGTATTCAAAATTAACATAATAAACAACGCTTTATGTACATGTGGGGACTTACAATCTTCTGATCATATCATTCTTGACATTTTACATTCTCACAATTTACTCCGCAATCTTTTCTCTTTTTAAATCATGTCATCAAGACGTATAAGCGTTCACAGTCAAATTATGAACCTTCTCTCTTTTACACCTTTTTACTCTTGCACTCACCAAGTGCTTCATATGACACTTTATACTCCTGTACTGCATTACTTCTTACACTACTCAATTTACTACTCATTGTTCCGTTCTATCCTACATGGCATATTTTATTAGAAATTACAAAAAAAAAAATAATAATAACGTGGCGGACGTATGCGCAAAATTAAAAAGATTTTAAACAGATAAACACTAAAACAAAAAATAAGTAATAATATTATATACACAAAACTAACCCCAACTGTACTAAGGCATAAACAAAGAACTCTGTGCTGCTATTGGGCCTTTTTTACACATCTCAGCGAACTTTTGTTTGTTGGTTCGCTGAATAACACAAGAAGAAGAAGAAGACGTTCTAAACTTACATACATGCTTTATAGAACGTAACAAGTTATGGGACAAATTGAAGAAAGTAAACGTAAACCAAGACGTACCCGTGGTACACCGTCCTATTACTATCGTAATCGTTTTGCCGCAGCGTCTATCGCTATTGGATCGTCAATATTTGCATTGTTCTAGTGAGTAATACGGAGACGTGTGTTGAATAAATGTCAATGCTTAAAAAAACTGGCACCTTTTTTTTTTTTTGCTTTTTTCAACAGTTTGACGCCCGTTTTTCAGGTGGCAAATGAAAAGCTTAATAAAAGTTTGCTAGTAGTGACTGAGGAGGAAAAAGATCGAAAATTCACATTCAATTTAGGAGCGATACCAAGGACCTCGGAGGGAATTCAAAAAAACATCGACGAGACAAAAGAATTGTTCTCTCAGCGGTAAATAAGACGCTTATTAGTATGGATCGTGAAAGACGCAAAGCCAATTTGAAAAAATTACAATTACCGAGCACGAAAGCCCATCAAATACGGTAGGATCCTACAGTTTCCTCTTTATAGTTTCGTAGTAGATGAAGTTTTTCAGCAAAATGTCGCTTCTTAGAGTTAAATTAGCAATAAATTTGAAAGTTAAAAATTGAATTTCTGGTTTTCCTTCTGAAATGTTTAGAGAATGCTCGAACACAAACACACCAACGACAACAAGCACACTAAGCTATTTTACTACACCGGAAAAGCAAAAGCCTCGCCCAATTAATGAAGTATTCAAAGGTTCTCATCAGTCTTTAAATGAAGATAACGCCATTTTTTCATGCAATCGTCCTAAGCGTACGAAATTAGATACATTTGTGGTCAGAGAACCCAAACAACCAAATACCCCACTTAAACCCAGCCCATTGAAAGTCAAAGTCGGTATTAATGGAAATGATTTCGTAGAACCTTTACAAAAAATTAAAAAGGCTCCGGAACCGATTAAATCAAAACGAACTGCGAGAAAATTTAAAGGCAATAAGAAACAAGCTTCCATTAAATCGGCATTTCTGCGGAATGAACAAATGTTTGCCGAGATTGCTGCACAGCATTGTGCAGCCGAGCAATTTGATGGTGAAGAAATACAATTAGCTTTAGCCATTTCTCAATCGGAAGCCGAAAGTAAGTGTTTGCTATCAGGTGAAGATGATGACAGAGAATCGAATACGGAATCTATTAAAAAAAAACTAGAAAAATATGGTTTCCGCACGGCAAATAAACAAGGTGAATAGTCTTTGTCTTATCATTTATTTATAAACTTTTAAAATTACAAGTAAAAAATAAAATTTAAAATTACAAGCTTATCAATATTGATTAGATTATACCAGCTTTGCTATGGCCTTTACAACGGCGAACGATGGGCGCAGACAAAAACGTCGTTGGGCCAATAAATTTACATCTTTGACTCTACGTAATACCGAGATTCAACGTAAAAAAATACAAAACAACATTGATTCTCTTCTACAGCGACAATTTCAACAAAAAAATGCTAAGGAAACACAAGAATTATCTCAATCCACCTACTCTGTCCTAAGTGATTTATTAAAACGTAGTCATTGCAAAACTAAAGATTTGCTACGCTGCAACGCAATCACTGCCACTGCAAAAACATTCGAAGATTATTTTGTTAAGGAATTATTTGAAGTTAACGTATTTCCATCGAATCGCTTATTAAAGGATTGGTCAGCCATACAGGGACGTGATTTGTCACCAACGCCCGAACAAAGGGAAAACAGAGAGGCCCAGAATTTAAAATTACAAAGCATTTATAATGAATTGGAAATATATTTTAGTCACAGCCGATCGAAGTGCGAACACATCGGCGATGTATCGGTTAAGAAATCTAATAATAATAAATCTCCTATCGACACAAGTCAGTTGAAAAATGCAATCGATTTGGGTGAAAAGCAGAAAGATGCGAAAACGTCATCAAGTGATTCCATGCTTTTGAATACTGCCGACAGTGTCATTCAAAATCTAAACACGACAATAAAAGATTTAAGTTTAGCGCTAGCAAAGGAGACTTTAAACATTGAGGCACAGACAAGCAAACATCCAAAATCTCCCGACTTGTTTGCAGATTCAGATTCTGATGTAGAAATAGAAGACAGATCAAAGGATATTGTATCGGCCGCAGGTATTTTCTGAAGAATGTTATAAAAGTTCAATTTATTTGATTCTGTTTTCATCTAACTGCTTAGAATCGGAGCATGTGAACGATTTACTTCGCAAAGATAATAATAGTAGGTCTATGGAGAACGTTGACGAGCTTATTACATACGAAATTTACACAAGTGACGAAGGTAAGTATAGTGAAATCCAACCAGTATTATCCAAGAGTTAAAGTTAAGTATAATTTTCTATTCACCATTATATTATTGAAATTTGTTGCCATATAAAGGCTTACTTTTTATTGGCAACAAGCGATAAAACTACGTGCTACTCCAAGCTTGGTATAGTTATTTTGACCATATCAAGTTTCTATTATAAATCAATTTTCATTACAAAATTTTAAAAATTAAACTTTTATGTGGCAAAAAATTTTCACTTTTATAAGAACACTTATATGAAATTAATTTGCCCCATCCAAATTTTTGCACTGAATGTACCGAAATACTGTTAGTTATCGATTTTTGTTGAGAAATTTGGAAAATTACAAAGATTTTTGTGCCCTGTGTGCGAGGATCTATATAACACTACGCGACCTAGCTTTTATTATACCAATCGATTTAAAATAATTTTTTGAAAATCGATTCAAACTTGCCTGATGCTTGTCTATGCTATTTTTGTGTTAAACCTTAAGGTCGTAAAATTCACATTATTTTTAATGGAATTTGATGCATTGAAGTGTTTTGGCCCAAGAATAAATCCTATTAGATATTGATTGGTTGGGATCTTTTTACGGCCATTATACGCCAAATAATGTTTTATTTGAAAAAAAAAGTCCTGGTATGTTAATATTTATTTATTTTAGCCAATTTTTTGAATCCCTTACCATACAGAAACAAGTAACTGTTGCATGGTAATAAATTTCTAATATTTTATGATGAAGATTTGTCAAAGATTGTCCTCTGAGATACAAATTTATGTTGCGCAATTTGAAGCACATTTTTGGAACTGTCTCCATGTAAGGATTCGTATAAAAAGTTGGCCAAAAGCTCCATTTTTCGACGTAAATAAGGGAAAAATAAAAGGTTTTTAAAAATGTATATATATATATATATGAGTATATCATAAGTCAATTTACATGTTAGTCCACTTATCATAGACAACTTTTCCAAAAAGGCATTTTTATAAATTATAATTTTTTGTTTTGTTATAAAATTAGTAGATCTTTTTATACCTACCACGGTTTTCCTTTCATTTTTTTTTTTAATTGTGTGTAACACCCAAGAGGAAGTTTCAAAGATCCTATAAAGTATATATATTCTTGATCAACGTGAAATTCTGAATTGATTTAGCCATTCCTGTCTGTTTGTGTGTGTTTGTTGTTGGCACTCTCCTGGTCGCCAAAATGAAGATATCGACTACAAATTTGTTAGAGACATTGGAACTCCTGGCACGCGGATTGGTATTGAAAATGGGTCGAATTGCTCGGAGCAGAAATCGTCAGTGGAGCATAAACTGAAAGTAACTCCATTTTTTCAAACCCAAAATTTGTGGATTTTTGCTCGTTACTCGGAAATTATTAAAGTCAGAAGGCTAACATTTTCCACATTTACTTTATGAAACACTCTGTTCTTTACATGTAAAAATGGAAAAAATCGGCCTTACCCACACAAAATTGAAAGTGGTTAAATTTTATTTATTTTTTTTTCACTGTTTTGAAGTTTTCTGCTTATTTATTATAAGACAAACAAGACAAAATGTTTAAAACTATTTTGTTCATTCCTCAAATGAAAATATATTATCTGAATATGATAGATATAATAATAACTGGCGATATGGGGTAGATGAAACAGAGTTAGTTATTCTATGGTCGGTCTTGTCCAACTGTAGCGTTTCAACTTGTTTGCCTTTCTTTAGATAGACGACACAGCTTCGGCTTGCTCATAATATAAGCTGCTTACGCGAACGCTGTCTTAATGCGTGTTTCTCCCTTAACATTTACGTCTGTGTATGATCGAAGTGAAAACGGATAGACAGACATGTAGGGCTAAACGCAGAAATTTAAATTAACGCAAGCACTATATATGTTTATAGGGTCTTCAAGATGCACATTCCTTCTTTATATAGATTATGCATGAATTTATTAAATTTAAATCTAAAAATACATTGACCTTATTCCCGCAAGGCTTATAAATTTTGTGAGTTTATGAACAAAATAATATATTTGAAGCTAATCTTTATTGTGCTATAGTTCATGAAAAAATCTCTTTTTTTTTTTCTTTTTTTTTTTTTGTAAAATTACGTTTAGTAAAGACTCCTTCATTGATGCCGCTATTTAATACTACGACATATCATACATTGGAATACGACTTGAATGACATAAAAGACGGATTTAAATCAGTTTATCATAAGCCCCAAAATATAAGTAGAATCGTAGAAGGAACTGATTGGTTTGGAACGACTGAATCGGAGAACAAAGAGGCATCTTTTAAGCACCTTCTAGTTATGGATACCTTAGATAAAACTAAGAAATTGCCAGAGTTTACTTTAAGTGTGGAAACTGAAAATCGTCACTTGGAGAATGACGAGGAAGCACTAAATAAAAGGGATCAAATTTTAAAAGACGAATCTTTTAAGTTTGCCGTAGACTTGGAATCAAACAAATCACCGGAAATCGAGTTTATGAATGAGGATATGTGCAATGGACAGAATGATGATGAAATTTTCCAAGAATTAAAACGAAAATATCTAAATATTCCAAACACTGACGATAGCTCCTGTATCATCAACCCTAATAGCAACTTAAGAAAGTCTCTTTCCTTCTCACTTAACACACATGCAACACCAAAAACTGAAAATTTTCATAAAACAAATTCCTTCAATTTGCAAGTTGACAAGAGAATAAACGAATCAGAGATATATATTGATTTGAGTCAAGATGATGACGCTGAAAATGATATTGACAGTGATGAATGCTTGCTATTGTCGGATGATGAAATCAATTATTCGATATGGAAAGCGAACCGAGTTGGTGACAACTTCGATGAATATGAAACAACGATGAAAAAGTCTTCAGTATTGGATTATCAAGAAAACGATGCCGATAGTGATAAGCCACAAACATCTCAGAATTCATTTTTCGAGTCGGAATATAATAAAGATTTTTTACGGGAAAATGTTTTACTTGATAATGAGCCGCTCGTCCCCACGCAAACTGAGGAAATATTTGATTTTTCATTTTCGGAATCGTCTAGCGAAAAATCAATACCCTCTAAATATTTTAGTCAAAATTTTGACAAAAAATTCAAAAGCCTATCGCCAACCAATGCACTACAAACCGAGTCCGCCTTAACACCGGCGTCATATAACGACGATTTTGGTGAGTTCGATTTATTGCTTGAGGCAGGTCCATCTAAGTCTATGCCAGTACCTAAAGGTATAGATCAATTATTAGAAGGTGAGATATCGTATTTAAAGGCACAAGAAAAAACACCTGAAGACTTGGAAATTTTCAACGAATCACTCACTTTTGATTGCCAAGAGTTGGAAGTGAATGGGAAAACGTATACGGTACGTGAAGTCGAAAGCCCCAAACCAGATTTTTCTACGTTAACAGAGACTGAATTATTAAATCGTTTATATGGTTACGGTATAAAACGTTTAAAACGAAAACAAGCGGTAAAAATCTTAGAATATATTTACAATCAAACTCATCCCATAATAGACTATGAAGAAGAAAATATAATAGAAAATTTCATCGATATTCCATTGAATTCTCCAAGCAAGACCAAAGCGAAACAAATTACTTCAAATCCTGATTCAATCAGCAATAACAAAACGAACATATCGGATGGTTCTGGTAAACGAATGCTCCGTTATAACAATGAATTATTAAAGGCTGAACTTATAGATGAAGAATATATATTGCAAACCAATGTTACTAAAAAGGTTTGATTCACATTTTAATTTGTAAGACAAACATTTGCCCATTTATATATAAATATCATTTCTCTTATTTATCGTTTAGACAGCACAACCCTTACTGCCCTTCCATATTGCCTGGTATAATTTGTTGTGTTGCAATCACAATTTACACGAAAGCATTTTAATGTACGAGCCAATCGATTTACAGAAAATTTATTTATTTCTGAAAGAGTTGGGGTATCGTTACGATCCTAAGGTAAATTTTTTTTTTTTATTTCTTTGCTTCAAAATATAAATAATGTATTTAAATAGAAAATGGATAAATGAATTTGTTGATTTTCTTTTTCCTTTTTTTTTTTTAAGGATCTGAAAGCATTTTTTGATCGACGTTGCATTATATTTCGCTATGATTTGTCTCCACCAGGTGTTGGAGGTGCCAGCAATCGAGAACACCAACGTAATCGTCACACACGCAAAAATAAATCATAAAAATTTAAGTTAAATTCTTTTTTACTCGTATTAAAAAAGCATGTGTACATAACAAGTTTATTAAAATTATTATTTTTATTTTTTTGTAATCATTTTAACTAAACATTTATCATTTTGCATATTATAAAGACTTATTATAACATTTAAATAAATACCGGAATGTATATATTTCAAGTATATTTATTTGTAACGGGAAACAATTGCGAGCCGTAAGTAGTGTTACTTTGCAAATTTTTCAAAAAAAAAAAGAAAAGAAAATATATATATATAAATGAACACGTTTTGCAATTATAAACATCTCATTAAATATTTTTACCTCTCTAAGAGTTTTCAAAGTCTAATATGCAATAGTTAGCTGGATTGTTTAGCGCGAACCCATTTATTAGCCCATGTAACTTTTTCTTTTGGCAACAATTTGTCTAGTTCTTGCTTTTGGTTTAATGACCGTTTATAGTAACTACTATATATATATATATATATATATAATACATAAGTATATAATACTTAACAGTGCCTCTGAGGCTTCCACGTAAATGTTTTGATAAAACGAATACTACGTCCCAAACCTTCCAATTAGTTTAGGTTTTTCGCTTCAAAATGTTTTCAGCTGAGGATGTTTAATTGGATTAAACTTATAAAATATTTAAACAATTTAATTAAGACATCTGATCACTCGTCATGCATTTTTAAGAAGTTCTGTTCTCTCAAACTATGTGTTTTTTATTTCCATGTATTACACAACGATTCTTCCCTAAGGTCTAGCGTTTTGCGGTTCCCCAGAATTCAGTCGATAGTACTTGATCTTTGCTCGAACGCAAAATAGCCTACCTTTTACTTCTCTAACAGGTTATTGTTAAGAAAAATTAATTGACTACGTCCTGACGTCAACTATAATTAATTTAGATTAACATGCTTTCATTGTCGCCTTCTACTCTCCGAGTTATTTTGTTGGATACCCATATCGCTGATATTATTTAAAAAAGAATTAATCCACCACGTTGTGTTGTCCATCAATCATATGTATTTTAGAATTAACGCATTTAGAGATAGTTAATATATATTTATTAGAGGAATGTACAAAATAATTGTAAACATTCTATCTTGTTTGTCTTATGATTAATAAGCATAAAAAAAGTGGGCATGTTCGAAATTATCTTCAGTTTACGCTTTGCTACGGGTGTGTGCTCTAATCACTTTCCGTGTGAACTTGCATGCAGCAAATTCCAATTTTTCTACCAAATTTTAAATCGACATCTTCATTTCGGCAACCACGAGATCGTTAACAACATATAACACACAAACGGACAGACTTCAAAAGTTCACACTGATCAAGGTAACATATATGCTGTAGAGTCTCCGAACTTTGCTTTTGCGTGTTGCAGACATTATGGCAAAATGGCTATATTCCATCTTTGGGTGTTAAATAAGTTATCATTTTCGGCGCATGTACCCGTTGGTGTCAGAAAAGATGAAAAAGCATAAATGAATTAGGAATTAATGAAAAAATTTCTGGGAACAAGGAAAAGTGAAAATGTACAAACTATTTAAAAATCGTTCTGAAAACGTGATATTTAGGGCTGGTTTGGGCAGAGCATAGACGGGCAAGTTTAATATGGAAATTATAAATGCCAAGCTAGCTATTAAGATAAGAAGGATTAAATAATTTAGATATAAAATTGACATACATAATTCATTACATTAAATTTTCTTTTTAGAGATTTAAGTTTTCTCGCCATTTTCTTTTTCAAATTTTATATTTGGTTTGCTCATTTATTGAACTTTTTATTTCTTCTTCTTCTTCTTTGCATTATTTTGTTATACAAACACCGATAATATCCCAAATACTGCGTTGTAAATGCAAGGAACAAGAGCCCAACTCGATTAGAATCGAGTACCGTCAACTTACAACACAATCGTACCGTTTTTGTCTTCGCGTGTCCTACGATAGTTCGATAATGAGAACAAGTGGTAATCAGGAGGCGTCATGTCTGCTGAGTACGCTGGGTGTGGCAGAACTTCTCTTTCGAGCTCATCTTATGAGTATCTTGGACAAGTTGCATAAAAAATGGCATTTTCACTTTTAAACGCTTGCACTCAAAACTGACAATAGAAATATCATGTAGCAACCTCACCATAAACCTCTGAACGTATTTGGTGGACTTCGGCAGTGGATTTCTTCAAATCAAACAACAAAAGCTATGAATGGAAGAAGGAGAGTTTTGAGCACTCGATGATTAGCGTCGGCGCACGCCGAATAAATAGATAATATTAAGTGGAAAATTGTTATTTTATGTAGAGGAAGCCCAAAATCTATCGAATTCAACCGTTATCTGCACTGGTATTTCCCATTTCTTCATCATTTTTACCTATAGAAATCGCTGATCAGAATTTTTTCAAACACCTAATACTTTCATTCTTGCGATCACGAATTTTTCAGCAAGAGCGAATGATCAAGAATATATGCATTATGGGGTTTCTGATTTCTTTTTGTGGGCACCATCAAGCTAAAAACTTGATTGATGTGTGGCTGTAGAAGATTTTTTCGGAATGATCTGGAGAGATATTACAAACTCTCGATTGTATTGAAGAAGATAATTAAAACTTCGAGGATTAAATTTTGTGTTTATATGTTTTAATCAACATTTATTAAATCCCCAACATAAACCATTGTTTTCACAAAAAAAAAATTTTTTTTTTACTTTTTAGCTTAATTTAGATATTACAGAAAAATTGATGATAATCCCCTTTCTTCTGTAGAAATCTATAATTGTTATTATTATTATTATTATTATTAGTAATATAAATAAGAAGTGAAGACCGTAAGAAAATGTCATTCACCTGCCAAAGTGGCCAACAGCGATTCATTGCACATACTGTTATTAGAAACATTAGAATTATCAACGAAATTCAATGCGGATTTAGTTGCTGTTAAGGAATTCATGTGATTGGGGGAAGTAGACGAGATTGGAGATGATTTGAGGACATGCAATGATACCAAGGATTGATTTGCGTTTACAATTGCAGGCGTCTCTGTCGCTGCCATTGTTGATTGTTGCGAGGACGGATTTGATGTCGGTGGCAATGACGGTGTTTGCACATCGCTGACACCAGTTGTCGAAGATGGGCAAGCCTTCGTAATACTTGTGGTAATGCATAACGAACCCGATTTACTTGTATCGGCAACACTTGCAGCTGTTGTTGTCGCAGTTGTCGTTTTTGTTGCGTTACGCTGCGATAACTTGGGAATTTGAAACTTTGTATTAAAACTTTTCATGAAACCCTCCATGCTGGCAGCCATAGTGGGCGAAGCATACTGTAAAATTTTTATCATATCAGCGTGATAATCGATACGTAAAGCCGATTGAGAGGGCGCAGCCGACAAAGATGACATGTGAGTGCTAGTTGCAGACGATGTCGAGACTGCCGATTTTTTAACACTTTTCCGTAAATTATCGTTAGATAAAAACTCTATGCTGTTCTCTAAACTCTTGTTCTTGTTTAGTTTGCCAGCCAAATTTCCCGAAGAATTCGATTTCTGAAACGTATGCTTGCTTTGGCTGGGCGACCATGACTTTTCGGAAGCGCTTAATTTCTTGCATGTTGGATCATTATTTACGCCAAACTTTTTCGTCGATATCGCTTTTGTTTTATTTATGGTGAGCTTTAAACCTTCTTGGCTTTGTGATTTAACCATATACTCGCTGCTGTTTTTATTGAATGTGTGGTTCGTGTCGCCTTCACTGCTGCCAAGAGGCTGAAGCGGTATTTGCCGTTGCTGGTGGTGGCGGTGGACCTGTTGTGTTGCTCGGCGTTGCGCTGGCGTTGAGTTGATTGTTGCCGTAACTGCTGTCGACGTCATCAAACTAACCTGACAAATGAGTTTTCGAGAGCAACAAAAATTTAAAAAAAGAAAAGAAAAAAGAAATTTTGCATTGAAGACAAACTGATCATCAACTTTATGTCACATACATTGAAGTTTCACATGAGGACGCGAGGAAATAATTTCCAATCTCGTTACATACGTATAAATTTGCTTAATTCATTGCTTTATTAAAACGTAAAATAAAAAGAACAAAGCATCCCCCAAAACTTAATTATTTCTAAATCCATACATGTATGTTTAATTCAGCAGATATGTATGTATGTAATTTAGAAAGCAACAAAAAGATAAAAATCAAGTTAAAATTATTGTTACATAAGGATTGAAGACAGAAAATTTTTAAATCTTCTCCCTTCTTAACATTTTTACATATTCCATACACTATTCCTGTCCATCACCAACGTTTGCAACAACTACAATGAAGGTCCAAGGACCTGCCAAAGTATATGTATTCTTGAATATTATTCAAGTCCGACTCAATTTAGATATGCCAGTCTTTCCGATCGATAGACCGATTGTACATATCCTACATATCCTCAATTATATTTTTAACAAGGATAATCGCGTGAACAAAAGACAGCTTGCTGGTATTCTGCGATTGGCTACATTTTCAACTTTAACCTATCAAGAATGATAGAAACGGACAAAACTTTATTTTTTTCGAAAAAATATTGATGAATGGCAGACAGACAGACAGACAGATAGGCGGAGAAACATGATTAAATAGAGCCCACTTTATAAATATTCGTTGCGGGACCTCCGACGACAACTTATCACCCTTGCGATATTCCTGCTATTCTTTTATAAATAGATGCTGAAGTTAGGAGATACTAAATTGGAATCTAAGCGTAACATCTTTGTAGGCAAAAACTTTCTAGAGCCTATCTAAAGCATAACGCGAATCCCAGCACATGTAAGTCTTTAACTCACAACTTATGCGCACATAAACTCTACGGCAAAAAAAAAAATGTATAGGTACGAACAACACTAGAGGATGGATTTAGCCGGATTTAACTAAATTCCGATATGACATGTTCAATATTTTTGGTAGAACTTAAAAATAGTAATTTTGGACCGAAACGGGGACATGGTGTATGTAAATGGTGTATGTTACTAACGTCGATTGGAAATATATTTAGCTAATGAGATCACC